CCCCATGTCATTTTGATGTTCTAGTGTCTCCTTGATTCGCGCCGGATGAGCTGCCCATCACATGAATGGGAGACAGTGTGTTGGTTTCGTTTCAGCCTCTCCACAACGCAAGCGCAATGCAAAAAGCAGAGTGTTTTCCAGAGGTTTACGGTCCTTGGACTGAGGACCGTGCTGTCGCAGCATGTGCAAAATAATTACTCTAAATCGATGCATATATGTGTCATATATGATGTCATATGAGCATCTCTTTCCTCCATACCTCTCGAGGTCTTGACAATTTCAACACATCTTTGCTCCATCCAGTCCCTCACTGTCTAGTCGTTCGGTTTGAACGGAAGGTGGGGGTTCCGCCGCTTACCAGGTGGTAGGATGGATGGGGAGTGCGCTGCACGATGCTGAGTCCTTGATGAATGCCATCATTGGAGTGGTCGTGGCGCCTCAGCTCTGGAAGTGGCGACGTGTTGCCACGGGTGCGGTGGATTTGTACGCAATACCACAGCAGTGGAATCCGAAGTGTTCAGGATGCATCCAGCCACAGGTACCACAGTTGCTTGTGGATTGGTTTGCCTCTCATTCGGTCTTGGTCCCTAAGGAGAGCACGCTTGCAAGCGCACGGGCAAATGCCGACAGGGAGCAGAAAGAGACTTTGGCTGCACAGACACGAAGGGGTAACCGATTTTAACATAATATATGTATATACATGTATATACAGGTTTTGCCAGGGTTTTGTCCAGCTTTAGCCCTCGACTGACTTCGGAAAAAGTTCCTGGATTCGTTTCCAGGCTTTGGTCTTCAGCAGCACCTATTGGCCAGATTAGCTTTCCTGAAATCATTGGCTATAGTTTTGGGGGGTTCCAGCTATTTCCCACTGCACATGAATCGCTTGTGCAGGAACGTGAGCGAGTCGACGCAATGGCAGCTTGCCCTGCAGACAGCTGGGTGGGCTTGGCAGGTGGGCACGGAAGGTGGAGCAGGCAGCGGAAGCACAGCTAGGAAACACCCAAAACTGCCATGAACCACTCAGCCATGCAGTGCTTTGGCCGGGCCGGACATTTTTAGATCTCCATCCGGAACACCAAGCTGCTGAAATCACCGAGCGTTTTTGATTCACAGACGCGACAGATGTGACAGCTGCGATCCAGGTCTTGGATTCGATGAAGCAGATCTTTGAAGAGGCGGATGCGGACCAGTCGGGCAAGCTGGACCAGGCGGCCACAGCCATGGCGTTAGCGTGGAGCTCGAGGGAGGCTACACCATTGCTGCGCTCAAGTTGCTATTAATCCATGGGTCAATTCACAGTTCTGCCGTACAAGTTTCTGACTGATGGACCACTTTCTTATGGGCAGCTCGACCTCACCTACAGTTCGACCACCGGGTGCTGGGGAAAAGAACGCCACGTGGCAAAGCTGTGGGGACTTGTTTGCTGGATGAACACGCACTGGCCACTGGGGCTGTACCTGGGGACCGTGGCTAGACGAAGCCAGCTTCGGGTGGAACCCATGGGGCAACCTCCGCAGGTCCTTTCCAACCTCAATGAGTGAACGAAGACGGAGGTCATTCTAAGGCCAGTGTATTGCTCACACGGACATACATCGTTTAAACAAATGGCATCAATTGAAATAACCTAATGCACATGCATGTATCATCATGTATCCATGTTTCTAGATATTAGTACTAATATATACTAATATATACTTAAATAAATAAATATATATATATATATAACTATATACTATCAAATACAATCACACATAAACCCAGTGACGCCTTGCTGGTATTTGCCGGAAGCAGGGACGTCCCCACGAGACACCCGGCAAGGGTACATGACCTAGGCGGTAGATTTAGTGCATGTTCACCTGCACTGGAGTCATGGCAAAATGTTCACAGGGTCTATGCCAAATACAACGCCGCCCTTTCAAGAGACCTGTGGCGTTGAATGAGAGAGCTGTGGCGAGTGATGTGCCTCTTGTCAAGTCATGTTCCTCTTGTAGCGCTGTTCGCAGGATGAGCTTCGAGCTTCTTTCTGCCGCTCAGCTCCAACTTGCAAGGGGGTGATACAAATGATCCAAGTGGATCGAAGTGGGGAATGATGATGGGCCTCCGAACACTTTTGGAGCTCGACTTCATGGACTTGGGAGGTCTTGAGCCTTGTTTTGCGAGGTGATTGAAGTCGTGGGGACCAAACAGTATGTATTTCAAGAAAGAAGCCGTACTATGCTGCGGATCAAAGAGCCACAGGCCTTCATTCATCCCAGCTCCGTGGTGTTTTCTCAGTCAGGGCTAGCATGGACTAGCTTTGATCCCGCCCAGCTTTGAATGACTGAAGGTTGCTTGCATTGCTAATTACCAGGTGCTTGCTGCAAAAGCCCCCTCTTCTGAAATAACACTGACTGATAGAACCATTCAAAGGCTGCTTGATCGAGGGGAACTCGGAACAAGGACAACCAACCCGTTGGTCAGGACTAGTTGCAGATCCACCCACTTTGGGAAGCAGTCTTGGAGCCCAGACCGAACCATTTTGTTCTCAGAGAGTGATTTTGGTGGGGGAGTTGCATAGTTGATGAAGCATCGAGCTGTGAGCAACCTGACCTATATTGCTTGCTCCGCTCCTCGATGGATGGATTGCTGGCTTGGTAGGTCAACGCCTTAGTTACTGCAGCGTGTGATGTGCTTGAGACTCACGTGATCTCGACCTGCCTTAGCCCGCCTGTACACCTTTGGGGTCATCGGCTTTTTTTGTGACCTCCGAATAGATAGTGGGACCGTTTTCAATACATTTTTAGTGGGTATCTACTTTTAATATGTGGGGGGTCTGCGGTGACATTCCTGGACCGGAAAACGCTCTTGGTCGAAGTGGCCAACTGGGGCCATTTGTTGGCCCAGTTGGTGTCATATGGTGTAAGTCATCCTGCGAATAAGACATGTGAGGACCAAGCATGGTAGGATGTCCGGCAAATCCCATCCAGCCGTTCGGTCATTGGTAGCGCTTCGGTACGGCCAAGGCAATGGCAGGGTTAGAGATCGGCTGCGGCTTCTTCACATACCTTTCAAGGACTTCGTGGAAGTTGTTCGAAGCGCCGTGAGTTTATGGTCGTCGTTTGGCATATGAAAATATCTACTAATTTTGCCAACCCGGATTCAGACACTTGAATGTGGCTATTGCATGTATCAGCCACTTGGTCCAAGCAAATCCCTACAGGTGCACGTTCGCGCGTGTGCGCGCGCGAATGCATACTATGGCATCTCAAAGCTGAAGGTTTTCAGGAACTAGGAACGCAATTCCCAGACACATCGTCGGAATGCATTCGATTCACACTAGGGATATGGCTGCGAGAGTTCGCGTTGGCGAGGACTTGGAGATGCTCTTCCAGATTTTAGATGATGAGAACAGTGGCCAGGTCAATACCAATAAGTGCCTTGAGCTCCCGTAATTATGTTCTTCGAGATTGTGAGTACCAGTTGGTCCATGTTACATCCAAACAATTGGTTTTACCCAGATTTGTGAATATATATATATATATGCGTGTGTGTGTGTGTGTGCGTTACGGGTTTACATAGGCGGTGAAACATTCTTTTTTAATGGTAATTATTTTCTGGTGGTGTTTCCATCCTGTGATTTGCACATTTGTTCTGGCCCCACTTCTCAACAGTGACCTCACGAGTAGATTGCTCAGCACCCCAAAGATGTGTTTTCAGGAGTTGCCTGTGAAACTTTTGCTTGGCCTTACGCCACCGGCATGCCAGAGCCTGCTACTTCTTTTGGGAGATCTATAATTATTACTCAAGCTGGGTCGGAATGTGCTGGCAGATGGTCAAGCAGGTGTCTTGACATCGTGAGTGGCCTGCCATGTCCCCACAGATGACAGCCTTGCCCATGACGGTCTCTATCTCTACATTAAAAAGTACTCCTCCCTTAGAGTGAGCAGTGCAGATTGACTGGGGAAGGCCTTTCAGATCGCGACCCTTGAGGTTCTTCCGAGGAGTACAGCGCCTCAGAGGCCAGGCGGCCGCTTGCCACCTTCACCAAATGCCGCCCAGCTGAAGAACTGGCTGAAGATATCCATGAATCCATGGCGTGACGGGTGCACATTGCACCACGCGATTTGCTGGTGCACCCGTCGAAGAACACGCATGACCCCCGACCCCCGACCGGGTCCCACCCAGCTTCAAGCTTAGAGTCTGAGATGGCACTGGGCCACCAAGCACACACCCGACCCGGGAGTTGTGATTCACCAGCAAGCTGGTTGCATTGGGTCTCATATTTCTTCCTGCAACTCATCCAATTCCAAGACCAATTGTATTGAGCAAATCCATCATGGTGGACATGCTCGTGCAGGAGCCAACGGTGCTAATTCTGTACCCAGTTTAAGTTTAAGTCAGCATCAGAACCGGACAATACCTGAAAGAATGCTTAGCCTCAGCTGAACGTAGATTGACATTTTACAGCAGGCCAAAAAAGTACGCCACACAATACAATACATACAATTGATCTATTGACAACTTGGGCTCTTATTCCATCTCCTTTTCATCACAACTTGGGTGTCGAGACATCACTCGGACGGATCCAACCAGGTCCATCGACCTGGGACGAAGGCTCAATTGGTGCGACGGACATCAGCAGGAGGTTCGACAGAGTCGGGAGCCGACCTCTCCGTGGGAAAGGGTCGGTGATGTAACGGTCTTTTTGGGTGAAACGGAGCTCCAAAGGGGTCGGGGGTATACAATGCTATACACGTACAGATGCATTTGAAGGTGCAAAGATGTAGAAAGTAGTTTATACAGTATACGCCTGTATGTTTTTATTAGAAATGTTTTCTTTTTAAATGTACATAATTATGTCATAGAATGGATTTGAATCTAACATGATTGATTTCGTTTTAGTTCAGAACATGGAGTTCTTCGGTCCACGGGTCCCGGGTCTACCGCATCGAGACGGTCTTGAGACTTCAGGAAACCCTGTGGACAGGCCCATTTGGAAAGGCCAGGTCGACTCGAACTCCGGCTCAAAGTTTAAGCTCGAAACCCTAGACCGAGCGGAACTGCTTCCATGTTTGCAATGCGCCTGGCGGCATCTTGCTTAGCAAAGCGGCACATTTTAAGATGTTATTTTTTTGGATGATAGTTGGAGAAATGCTTTGGGCGCTTTTTGTTGGAGGCAGCACTCTGCCAGTGAGGCATTGCTGTATTTGCTGCAGCTGGTGGCTGGCGATGAATGTGAAGAAACGCCTCAATTCCTTCAGCATTCATTGCAACTGGATGCACAGGAGGCGCCGAGCAAATGCTCATAATTTGGTCAGAGTCGCGTGAGCACGGGATGCAGTGGTTCTAGCGGTCCTATGGAGTCCTATGTATAGCCAACAATTCACCACCAAACTCCTTTTGACCCAAATGATTACCAGAACATGAAAAAAGTTGTCAGCTCAGTCATCCTTGGTGGACAAAGAGTTGGCCAATCCGTGATATATGCCGAAGAGAGCATTTCCTGTGAGATCCCGTTGTTAAAACACGTAGACAACATTGAGCGGTACCAAACATATCCATCTCCGGTCAACAGGAGCCAAGGGGAAATGGATACTTCATGTTTGTTTTGATGGATATTTCATGCATTCAGATCATTCAGTCTCTCACAATCAGCCATCACCCGCAGAGAGAGAGAGAGAGAGAGAGAAAAAAAAAACATAAAGGAGAGAGAGAGAGGGACAGAGATACAGTAATTAGCAAAATGCAGCGTAATGTTGTTGTATATAGCTTACTTTACTTTGCATTTGCTTTGCTCCAGGTCCAGGCGGCACATAGCAAAACCTCGAGAAGTGTCAAGGCAAAGACGAGTACATTTCCAGGACACAAGAGCAACCGTATGTGCACATCAATGGCAGGTTCATTGTCTTGGAATGTCTTGGATATTAATATGCTTTGCCCACAACAGACTGGTCAGAATGGTCCGCCTCTCCGATGACCAATTTCGGAGTGGACAGCCTCTAAGCATCCCTCCAAATTCTCTAACCAATGGCACTGGGAGCATGATTCAGCATGGCTGGTTGGGGCCACGTCCAAGTTGGCCAGGTTCCTGTCAGCCTCAGCTGGCCACTTGGTGGGGGAACAAGTCATATTACCCCGCGGAAAACGAACATGGAATCTCAAAAACACTGGTTGGTAGAGGAAAAAGTCTTTCAGGGTGCCATTCTCGGGTTCCATGTTGGTATTCGGGAGAGTATCTCGTGGCCAAACTGGGGATCCCCTCAAGATTCAAGATACAATATATGAATAGATAAAACATCGAGTCTTAAAGTTTTGAAACACAAGCATCATCTCTCCGCAAGGAGTGGAGACCTTTAATTTCTTTGTGAACTTCCATGATGTTGGCGACTTTGCACCTTGGGCAGATCGAGTCGTGGGAGCTCCGAGAGACGAGAGAGGGGGGAGAAAGCCAGAGGGGGATTGGCTTCGACGAAAGGATGACGGGGGACCAAGTCAAACTCATCGGAACACCAGTATACTGCACCCAGGTGTCACGGCACTCATCTGAAAATTGAAAATGTTCATGGTGATACTTCATGCCATTCATACCAAGAGCGTACCGTACACTTGCACGCTTTGCAACGAGCAACGTGCCACCAGGACAAGAGTGTTTCTTGATGGTTCCAGACAACAAACCCCGCCTGTCTCCGACTCCTCGATGAGAGCTACTGAATGTGAGTTTACATGGGCAAAGTTCCTCCAAAACTGAACCAGTAACCGTGATAGTATGTGGGTTTGACCATTCCTCACTTGCCATGGGCCAACCTTGCAGATGTTATGACATTATGACACCCCGGTGGGAAACAACGGGCTCACCGACCGACGCCTGAGGCCACGGTGATCAACGTCATCACGCATCAATCAAAGAGTTGTAGCCAATGTGGCGGCTTCCTTTTCACTTGTCAGGACAGCAGATGATTTCTTTGCTGACTTCCAGTGGTAGAGCACGTCTTGCATGACTGTGGGGAATGCGTGGGATAGCCTCCGAAAGGACATATGCCTATATATAGACACCACATGCATGAATGTTGATGTCCCCGAGGGCCCGAGTGACGTCAAAAACACTGGCTGTGACATCATAGTTTTGTCCAAATCCAGGAGGATGGCCTGACAGACGACGAATGCCAGATGCGCCAGCCAGCAGCTGTGCAAAATTTGCCCGGTCATGTTCATTAAGGAGTTGTCCGGAAGTGGTCCATGAACTTGGTTCCTGTAATGCCCCTGAGATTTGAGCGAAAAGTCTTAGCGCACCAACCAATGACTTGGTAGATTCTAGATTTGCCAAACTTGGGCCAATTGGGGGCACCAAGAACCATGAAGCAGATTGGGGTTCAGTGCTGGCCCCCTGAAAGAACGTGAAACTGGCTCCCACTTGAAAACCATTTAGTAAGACCGATCATGAATTCTGAGCATACAAGGGTGCAATTCCGTCAATTCCTAGGAATGTCCAACCCTATACTTCCACACACCAAATTAAGACAAAGAACGCCTGATCCCTTAACCCTGGAGAATGTTCCATGTTCTTTATTTATTGTTTCGGCCGTGATGTCACACCTTCCTAGGGACAGCAGGAGTGTCATGATTACCTTCTGATGCAAACACTTAACGTCCTGCTCCAGTGGACGTTTAAATGTCTAAATGTGAGACTCAAACGTCATACCCAGCATTCTTTTTGGCAAAACACATGTCCACGGGCCATTCTCAAGGCACGAGCGTCAACTCGCCGAACTCGGCCGCTCACCCCTTCCGTTTATTGTGGAGACGAGGCGGTCATGTTTTGAGGGATGTCCCTTCCGTTCCCCTCCATTTTGAGTGCAGAAAAAGTGGCTGGTTTGGGCCGACCGTGAGTTGGTGTAAGGTTTTTCTCGTGCGGTGAGGAACACAGAAAGTGTCGGGTCGATGGATCAAAGAGTCAGAGGAACCTGCAGGCTTGAGTCTACAGTAAGCGTCCGAACTTTTGCCGGTTTTGGCGGGCTCCCGCTTTCGGAGCCCTATATCCATGCGTTATACTATATGGATATTGCATTATTAACATGATATTGTCTCAAAAGTAACGCGCTGAAGTCACAGCAACGTCCCGCCCCACCTCTTCCTTTGTGGGAACGGGCACCCAGTAAGGCCAGGAGCCCCTAGCCCTCGTCGCGTCCGGACTCACTCGACCCGAGGGCGTTTGCACCAACGACTTTGGACCGCATGGCTGCAGTTCTCATACCAGCCTGCGCATCCTTGAGGAGGCGATCTCAGGCGACCGACTGGGGGTGGCGGTCTCATGGCGGTCTCCGACTGCGTGCGCCATGGGTCTCAGTAGCGCCAGTTTGGTTGGTGCGATTCGTCCTGCACCTTGGGTATTTCACAAATGCACCCTCAAAAGACGATGCAATGTGATGGAACGGGCGATACGATCTCGCGGAAGGAAAAAGGATGGAACAGGTACCAACAAGAATATATCCACGGTTCAAGCTTTGTTAACTCGTGCTGCTCAGCCTGGAACCAGCCGCTCGTGGTGTCCTGTTTTGGGTGACAAGCTTCTTGAAATAGCAGAGAGACCGGGGTTTCAGGTGCCTACTGAGCCAAAGCACGTGACCTGGAGCTTTTCTAGTAGTGCAATGTTGATTGTGTTTTTCCTAGAATTGGTTTAAGAGAACATCTACAGGACACCCATGGCTTTAGGGGGTGAAAACGATTGTTTTTTCTTTCATCAGTTCATTGATTCTTGCCCGCGCGCATCTCGGGAAAGCACTTGCTGAATACATCGATGTGCTTTTCATATGCAGGGGGGGCTTCCTTCTTCCAGATCCAGCTGTATCCAGCTGTCAGGCGAGCCCATGACGAAGGCGATCAATGTCTCAGACTTGACGAGCTTGAAGAACTTGTGGCCAGATTCCAAAAGACACGATTTGCTGACACGTTCAGATTCTTGGCATCAGGGTGTTTGGGTGGCCAGTGCTTCTTCATGCTCTTTCACAATCGTATGGAACGCATGCTTAAATAAGTAAGTGATATACTGTATGTATATATATATATTTATAAACATGTATACATGCAAAGCATGTATATATTGTGTATAAAGGAGGCGGAGGTTTCGATATGAGTATTATATATATTATATGGCTGTAGGACCCAGCAATGTGTTTGCGTTCAAGTTTTGGCCTACTTCTTCCGTACTTTCTTTGAAACCTGCTCGCACTTGGCGGCAAACTTGTTCCATGCCATACTTTCCTAATGCTTCACTTTATTATGTTGGACTCTCCGATGCTGGCCCCAATGACAAGAATAACGAGCCTTCTCTCTCTCTCTCTCTTTGTTTGTCTATTTGTCTGTCTTTTCCAGAGGGAGAGTGAGAGAGAAAAAAGACAAGAAACGAGGGAGAGAGAGTGAGCCCCTGGTAAGGTAGGGTAGCTCAGAGCATGAGGCCGCACAATCAAACTGGATGCTTACCTTTACTGTTTGTCGCACAGGCCCTGACCGAGGTTGTTCTTGTTGAAATAAGCCAGCTTAAACCTCACAAGATCTCGAGCGGACTGACAGACTGAAACGAACTGGTTTTCTATGGGTGGTATGTTGCAGACAGTAGACAAGTGTTGACACACAAAAAGCCACTTTCCTGTCGTCTCATGTCTCAAGTCAGCCTGCCATGGGTGGCCATCCAGCTAAGCCATCCGTATCGCATGTGGCCTTCAAGATTCATTGGTGCGCCAGGAAGTTGACAGGGCGATTTCCATTTCAGTTGTATTTATTATACAGACTTGCAAGGGAGATCGGCCCATGAGTTGGTTTTACTTTATAGATGAACAGTGGCCGAGTTTCGGTCAATATTCTATTTGGCTGGTGGGAACCCTTGCCAAATCGAGCTGGTCATTTGCATGTGCACTTCATTTGTGGTCAATTCCTATCAGTTGTATGACATATATATATATATATATGAAATATATATGTTGTTTCAGATTTGGCAGATGTTCCAACACCCTTCGCAGGGGAACGACTGAGCACTCGATCCAAGCTTACATCCAGGCGCAATCCCTTTCCTGGCTTCCACTTTGGTGGGGCCCCTTGCGGCGGATCCTGACCACCACCGTGCTCAGGGATCCTGTCAAGAAGTTAAGGCCCGGTCGAACCGGTCGCGTTTTGCTTGCGACCGACGGAGAGATCAAGTAACGAAGGGTGATGGCCATGACTTGACAGGAGGGTGTGGCAACGGTTTGAGCCTAGGGCCTAGGCGCCTGGATTGTTTCAGTGGATATTGTCACGAAAGGTAGCCAGGTAGCCCCTAAGAGGATACCTAGAGTTTGTCTTGCGAAGCAAGTGTCGGCGCGTCCGGGTCTAATAATTGATAGTTCAATTCAACCCCCCCCCCCCGGGGAATTGATTTTTCAATACCGACCCCCCCCCTCTAAAATTCAATTCTCTCCTGGAGAACCGCTTCGTGAGCCTCTCATGATTTCAGGATAGTTGAAACCCTCTTGAACATTCAGAAAGAGTGCATATGAAATTCTAATCACGAAAGGTGTTCCCCGAGGGGATACATACCTAGAGTTTGTTTTGTGAAGCACGTCAATTCTCTCCTGGGGAACGTCTTCGTGAGCCTCTTATGGTTTCAGGATAGTTCAAATCCTATGATGCTCCGATTCAATGCTCACCGATGATCTGAGCCATGGGGCAAGTTTGTTTTCCTAAGAATCTCAGAGAGCATATGTTTGAACATTTAGAGTGCATATATATGAAATTATATTTACGAAAGGTCGCCTCCGAGGGATAAATCACCATGTCGAACATTGCATTTTTGTTCCTGCCTCTTGCGTTCTCTTCTCTTCCCGCTGTCCTACCTTTCGTGTCTCCCTCCTCTCAAGTTTCATTTACTTTATGACCCGTTGGGGTTTGGATAAACAAACATTCCCGGTCATGTATGGATGCGGGTGAGGAGCCCGCGTGTTTCTCTCTCGCAGTGGAAGGGAGAATCAAATCATGCAACCGGACGCGGATTGGAGTTGGAGTCTAGTAGCAGCATGTAGCAGCCTATCGCGTTGTGGGTTAGCGGAGGCCTGCAGTAACTTGCATTTTTAGAGATGACCGCAACTCGTTTTCACGATGTTGTTGAGGGGGTCATTTCTTTGAAGAACGCTCCGACTTGCAAACCGCACTTGACCAACGAAAACCCCGCAAGCCGCCCTCTCGCCGTTTTCATTTCTTTTCCAAACCGCTCTTTAACTTTGCTGAGGGGTCATCGGAGGGGGTCGTCGGCCGCGGGCCCCTTTGACGTGGCTGGGAGGTCAGCATATAATCGAATCAACGAGACTCATCCCATGCCTTTGAAGGCGCGAGGGGTCGGGTCGGGTCGTTGCCCCCTTCGTTGCCCCATTCGACCACCGAAAACGACCCCGTATGACGATGGGTGTCAGGCCAAACGATACAGAACGGACAGTTGCTTTCCTCCAGGAGTCTGTCCGGGGAATACATGTTTTATGATGTTTTGATGTGTTTTATGATGATTATTGATTTACTGACCTTGTCATGTTCCACATGTTTTTTTTTGCCACAGCACCATCAACCAGTCCATTCCATCAAGCCGGTGTGGCTCGAGAGCGGAATCTAGTATAGCCTAACATCAACTATCATGACTTGGGTAGCTTGTTCGGTTCAGACAGGAGTTGGAGGTGTCAGTGACTGTCAGAGCTGTCAGAGCAGGGATCCATTCGGTTCTCGAACCAGAATTCAGTTCGTCTTCGGGCTTCGGAACCTGGGGCTCTGGGTGTATGTAGCAGTGTGGAGACTCCCACGGCTAAGAAGTTGTTAGTGCTGGTCAGCTTATAAATAGATATACTGTGTATACTTTTAAGTTTTGGCGGCCGCAACTGCTCTGTTTTTTCCTCGCTGCGTTCCGGATGACCATAGCTCAGCGTATCGGACTGAGGATTACAGGGTTTAGATTTTAGATAAGTTTAGATGGGTTTAGTCAAATGATGTTAGGCTCTTATTTCTTGCCCAGTTTTAGACATATCCAGCCAGTGACAGTCATCACCCACGGAAACTGTACCTGGGTCCTGTGATGGCCTTCAGATGCCTTCAGCAAAGGATGAATGGACCTTCAAAATCTTCAAAGATCTATCTTGCGCTTCAAGTTTTGGGGCCAGGGGTATGTACACCCACGGAACATGGCGTTTTTACTGCACACCAACATGTCATGTTTGGGTGAACCAAGTCAAGCTATCAAACATGTGGTAGACGAACATCTCCGGACCATGCATATAGATGCATAGACGATGCAGATAGCATACGTCTTGGATCAGACATTTGCACAAATAATTGGTAGAAGGTTCGCTCAACATTAGATAAAATTGGGGAGGTTGTTTTTTCCAGGTTTGACATGATTTGACTCATGTTAGATGTTTAAAGCCATTGCTCTTCCAAATCCCCTGAGTGCAAGGCCTTTCTGAAGGCGCAGCGTGACTTCGTGGCGGGCAACGCCAGCGACCAGATGCCACCGCTGCGGAAGGCAGGGAAGAATTGGTGCAGCACTTGCGGTAACGGATCACCCCGAAGACATGAAAAGAATAGTGCACGCCCATCGACCCTGAAAACCTTGGGTTTGGCTGATCGGGTGATGAATACTGGGTGAATTCCCTGCCGGGAGTCTCGTTTCTGTATATCGGGTTCATGGACTGCAAATCCAAGAAACCACGAGGGTTGTCGAGTCTACTTGCAGTTTTTTTCCTGGTTCATCTCAGCCTTGAGGAGGGTGACACAACAGGCACCAAACTCCATAGGCTCAGGGTGTATTGTCGCAACAGAGTCTGGCGAGTGTTTGGGCCACGGATTTGTTGCTTCTTCCATTGCCGGGTTTTGGCAACATGGACATCCAAACAGGCAAAATAGAATAACGTAGCTCGCCAGTGTCGAGAACAGCACTGATCTAGCAACAGCACTGGCTCCGCCGTACGGCCAGTGTCGAGATGTGGATGCATATGTTTCACTATAGCCAGGCGGTGATGAGTTGCTGCGAGTACAGCTTCTACCTTGGCCACTGAGCTGACCAATTTGCGCGGGGGATGCGTACGAGCAAAGCTATGCTTCAAACTTTCAACAAGCGTTGTCTTACATATCTATACATTGGTGGTATTCAACAAAATTGCCAGATAGAACCAGCCGACACCAGGTATCACAACTTCAAACCATTCTGCGGTCGAAGTGCTCAGCTATGTGCAAAGCAAACACCTCGAGCACGCGGCTGATTTGTTGGATGAGCTGTTCGACTAGTTCGATTTAGCTAAGCCAAGGTCCGATTGAGTGATCTTTGTTTTGTTCTGCATGCAATGTTCTGCAGAGTGCATAGTGCCAAGAGTTGTGCCAGTTCTGCTACGATCAGTTCAGCAATAGATGACAATATACATAGACACTGACATATAATCTAATGTGTTGTACTGCAAAAGTTGGCAAGATCAGTATAGGTCCCGCCGCAGTGCAAATGTGTCAAGGCAATGGTGACGTCAACAAATCCAGAAGGGTGCTGGCCAGTCAATTTGACATGGTGCCTGGCATGTGATTCAGATGCTTGAAGGGTGTTTCGCCCTTGGCGGCATGAACTGGTAACAAAGCGAGTTACATTCAGCCAGAAGCCGGACAGGGATCAGGTTTCAACCGACAACCGCCAACCGGGTGAACCGAAATCAACCGGCGGTTGGCCGGTTGGCCGGTTCAGCCGGGTAACCGAGAAGCGGCCAACCAAGAAAGAATCGGTAAACCGGTTAACCGCCGGTTGAACCGGAGGTTTCCCGGTTGCCCGGTTCAACCGGCCAACCGG